TATATAAACTATAACTTCTGTTTTTTGGTCTTTAAACACACTCACTCTGTGGAAGATGCATCTTCAGTTTCTGCTCTCAGAGCCGTGAAAGGAACGATGTTCAGCTCTCGGGTCGAGTTCGACAAGTCTTTGCCACGTTTTGCCACACAATCTTCATCTGACAAGAAGAACTGAGGAGGAAATGGAGTGAGAGCACAGTTTACTGAAGGACCTTTAATCTGAGCCTTGTTTACAGAAATCTGAACCGTTAAGATGTCAGTGTTAACCAGGTAATAGTGCTAATGTTTGAGGTTAGAGAACTGCAGGGATTTTACTGTCTGAACATCAGTCAGGTCAATCATGAACTGCTGCAGATTTACAGGTGATGCTAAAGTAGCACCTCAACATCTTTGACTTTCTCTGACTCAGACGGAGCAGACGTTCCCTCTGTCCCTTCGTCTTCCTCCTCCTCTTCATCTTTACCCTCCTCTATCGGGCCGCTCGACGGAGGGTGGCTGCTTTTGTGATCTTTGTCCTTTCTCCTTTTCTTGGTGTTCTTTTTCCTGCGTCCATCGACGGGCAGTTTGGAGAGAGGCCGGTGGATGTGGTGAGACGAGTGACGGTGATCTGCAGAAAACATTTAAAAAACACAAACAATCCAAACCTTCTTGAGATGTTTTTTGGGTCTGGATGACGGGAACGCAGACAAGACCAGGTGCTTACACTTGATGTCCTCCTCATGGTAACTGTGGTGCTGGTCATCGGGCACAGAAGCAGCTGTGTGGAGGATCTGCTGGAAGCGCTGAATGCCTAAAGCTTTGTTCAAGTCGCCATCGTCTTCCTCCTCTGAGCGTGGAAGCGGCGAAGAGGGTGGAGCCTCAGGCTGTGAAAATAAAAACAACGCATGAGCAAATGAATCAATATGTGCAAGAAACAAAACTCAGAGGGATGAGAATCAGCCCAAACTTTATTATTATTTACAAATCATTTTACCAACCATCTAAACGCTGCGTTCATTTAAGTTTGACTCAATTACAGACAAAATATAGAATTCAAATTCAATTAATCATTTGGCAAAATTATAGTTTTGAGATCTTTCAACTGAAAAATGAGGTTCACTTGGCTCTTTTTCTAGTGTGAACTCACTAGTCTTGAGTGTAAGTTTTAAACAACTGATATAGATTTATTATTATTATTATTATTATTATTTTACTTTTTCTTTCATTTTCAGTCCAGTTCTTGTGGCTGATCCGAGCAGCACATTGTGCATGTGTCTACTCACACACTAGAGGGCGCACTGCTGCTAAGACCAGGACCCAGAGATCAGCTGATCAGTCCTCATGCACTCATAAATATGAGCTTTAAACTGGAAACTAAAGCCATAAGCATTGATCAGTTACACGGTTGACCCGCTGTGATGTGACCTGGATCACGTTGGGTTTGAGATCTTTTTTTTTCTCTCTCTCTGCTCTGCCGGGTGGGATGTTGTGATAATGATTGATCGCCTCTGGATGAAAAGGATTGTGGTGCAGATGCCTCACGGCAGAGCAAATGTGGCCATGGCAACTGTGAGTGAACCCTTCCTGCAGCAAAACTCAGGGGTTGCAAGTCATCTGATGCTATGTAAAAGTTCTCAGGGTGTAAAACGAGTTGATAAGATTACAATCCTCCACCTGGAGAGAAAATGTTGTCAGTTTGTTCTGGAAAAAAAAAACTATTTCAAATACAATCGTGTCTTTTGAACTCTTTGAACAAATACATTCAAATATGTCACTCAGTTTTAATAAAAACAAGCTTATATTTTTTTCTTTTGCTGACACATCTAATTAAAATTGTTCATGATTTCTGTAAGATTTCAATGCAGAGCTTTTTTTTAAATAAAGTAGTTTCATATTGATGCATATTTACCTGAAGAAACTGCCTGGAGAAATAAAACTTAATTATAAATGATTAAATAATGTATTAAAGGCAAGCATTCCTTGAAGTATAGGATCAATAAAATCTGTCCAGTGGTTTATGAGGCATGTTGATAACACACACACACACAATCGTCTTTTAGAGCTACTTCAACACACGATGCAGCTCAGTTCTGTGTAGCTCACACTGCATTTTTAACATCTCTAATGTAAAAGAACAAAATTCCTTTAAGCTCATCGAATCAAAAAAGGCACAATAATGTGAACACAGATTCTTCTGGTTCCTGCTTGAGCCACAATCCTCAGAGAACAAACCTGCATTGATTGATGCAGGTGCAAGGCAGAGTGAAAAAGTGACTCCCATGACCCATACAACTATCCATTGTTTTCCTACGACGTGTTTTTACATGCCTCACACTGGTGACAGAAACAGAAACCCGTAAGCTGAACTACAGAAATGTATACTCTTAGGACAGACTGAAGCGGTCTTATATAGCTTCTATATTTTTCTTTCAAAAGAGAAAAACAGTGCAGTATTTGGAATACGCTACTGCCATGTCAACACTGTTTAACTAATACCTGAAAAGGGTCGTATTTGGGGAGAGGGTTATGTAAACAACCTTTTGACTCTAGAAAGAAAGAAATATGAAATGTTCACCATAAAGTTTTTTGTAACAAATTCTCATAAAACATATAATTTCACTGAAAAAAATAAAATAAAATTGTGTGAGAGTACTTTGTTTACAACCAAAACCCTGAGCTTAAAGAGAAAAGTGATAAATAGTCAAAGAGTTGAGAAACTGCTCTACAGCAGATACCACATGTAAAAACAAGCTCCTGATTACACATCTGCATGGACACCTTCATCAGAACCCTGTTGGCCAACAGACCACCTTCAATATGTTCACTAAACCAAGACAGAAAGAAATGAGATTTTACTCTTGGCTTTTGAGAAACGTCTACATGAATGAACAAGCTGTGTTTGAACAAACACGTGAAGTATTGACCAAGAGGCTTTGAGTCAAAATACCTGAAAGGAGGATGTAAATGAACAAGAACTGGACTTCCTACAGTTTTAAAGGCCTAACATTGACCAAAAAATGTTTTACGCAACAGGCTGAAGTGAAATGGAAACAAAAGGAAGACTAAAAGAAAAAATAAAAAGTAAACTCTAAAAAGCCAGAAAATTTCAAGTGTTTATGTAAGACTTAAACATGTTTTCTTAAAATAAATAAATTAAAAATAATATATGATTTAGTCCAAATCACAGTATAATTTTTAAGTAAAAGTTTAAATCTTCTATAAAGGGGTTCTGTGGAAACTGTGGGTTTCAGCGAACAATGAATATCTTACCTGTTGTTAATGACTCTTTAAATTACCTAATTGTTTAATTCTGACTGGATTGATGAGCTAACAGCTAGTCTGAGTATGGCAAAGACCAAAGTGGGCATTTACCTGCCACATTAAAACAACTCCACACTGGAAAATGTCACAGCAGTTCATGCAAACCATTTTGTAAACATTGGTTGTTTACAGGCAAAAATGCCAGCAGGAGGAGCTACCTGCAGCACTTCTGGTGCAGCCTGGAGCTCCTGCTGGTGGAGATTCGCAGTCATACAGATTATGATTTAAAATAAAAATGCTGAAGACGTTTTTCTCTATTCAAAATGTCTGGAGTGTGTGGAATTCCAAGCTACAGACCTGCATGAGAGGCCTGAGAGTTCAGATTCACATGCAGATTAAACTGGAACTACTGGTCCCTCACAATGGAGAGTCTTTAGGCTCTGAGTTTGCCTGAGATGAGAGATGTTTCGATCACATGCATGAATGTGTGAATCTTTGACCATGAGCTCTTCTATAATGAACATGAACATATTTCAGTAAAAGTAATGGTTTGTAGCAGTCTAAAGGTTTTTGCTGAACCTTTATAATTTTGTTTAGAAAGGAGTTGACAATATAAGACTAGCTGTCATCTCATTAATTTGATCAGAATTAAAACATTTCTTCAAACCGTTCAAACAGCCATGTATGACAGGTTAATTTTTTTATTTTTCAACAGAACTCCACTTCAAAATTTACAGTATATCTCTGAACATTAGATATGGAGAGAACCCACCTGATGCCTTTTTATAAACCAATAAAAATGAGATTTGACAAAGTATGTGGTCTTAGTTTGATAAAGTTGGTCAATTCCTTAAACTATTGCTACAAGAAGTTTAATTTCCCTGTAACAATGTTCCCAAGGGATCAATAAAGTTAAATCTGATCTAATCTAAGCCTTACCAGACTTTTCCTAAAATAGACAACAAAAACAAACATATCAAACAAGTGTAGCAGCTCAGTTTTATATTGTGCTGACTAGGCTTGGGCAGTATGATAGTATTTTGGTATACTGCAGTATTGTAGCAACTGTATTTAAAAATTATGACTGTATTAGTCATCAAATTTCCCAGCAATTTATACAAGGCTGCAAGGAAAACTGGGACATCAACATTCTACGCTCTTTCAGAAATCACCCCATATCATTACTGACGTGGGTTCTAGGGTTGGGCATTATCGTATCGTGTGCAATTAATCATCAGAAAAACATTAATCGATTTCTTTTTGGCACTTGACAATTAATACGATTAATGCCACCAGGCAGAATCCGCTCGCTCGCTGCTCCTCTCTGCTTCAAATATGACAAACATTAAAATAAAGTTCTGTAATTTATTTATCTATCAACACAATTTAAAATTAGATGTGTAGCCTGAAGTCTGTAATTTTGACAGTTTGGAACAGATTTTTATGATGAGCAAATCTTTCCCACTAAATTGGTCATGTGACTAGGACATAAGGGTGTCCAGGGACTCCAGGGGATTAATCGTCAAATTAATCGTTATCGGCTAAATACCACAATTAATCGTGATTAATTTTTTTGCCAATATTGCCCAACCCTAGTGGGTTCTAACCAACTCATGGTAAATGGATTGAACTTCTATAGAGCGCTTTATCAAGTCCCTCCGGACCTCAAAGCACTTTAACACTTAGACATTCACCCATTCACACACTGATGATGGCAAACTACACTGTAGCCACAGCTGCCCTGGGGCACACTGACAGAGGTGGGGCTGCCATGCACCGGCACCACCGGACCCTCTGACCACCATCAGCAGGCAAGGCAGGTGAAGTGTCTTGCCCGAGGACACAACGACTGAGATGACTGGACGGGGGGATTGAACCAGCGACCTTCCGGTTCCAGGACGACTCCCCTAACCACTCCGCCACAGCTGCCCTAACTCATGAAAAGAGGAGAAGGGAGGGGGAGCAGAGACACCCCCCATCTGTTGCTCCTCTTATATTCCCAGTGAGGTAAAACTTTTTTTTATAAAAGCTCAGAGCGATAGTGGCAGAAACGTTACTCGCCGGCTCAAGTAAAAGTGGGCCGGTGTAGTGCTGACAGCTCGGAGACCACCCAGCTGCAGCCCTCAGGTTTCTTAAGTCAAACCACCATAGCTGGACTACTTATTGGCACAAAGACCGGCTAAAAGAATGCAGCAGAGCAGATACAACCATGGTAAGAGTCACATTATTTTGAAACATAAAACCCTAAAAAGATGTGGTTGGTCTTATTTTGATCTGTTTGACATAATAAAAGGCAAGAACTCCTCTCCTGCTGCTCTCAGAGTGACAGGCTGAGTCAGATCAGCTCAGTCTTTTCTCACGCCTCTTCTGACTCTACATGCATGTAAATTCTAACTATTTCTCCATTAATTATTAATTACTCAACACTTCACAGACCATACCTCCCCATACCGTATACCGCTGTATTTTCTAAAGGTTATACCACGGTATGAAAATGATCAATAGCACTCAACCCTAGAGCAGCCATATTCACATAACTACTTTGACACGACTGGTAATGTCAAATTGTATGAATGTCTATCATSTACATCCTCTCAGTATTTTACAGTGCTGACATTTGCTTATTCATAAAAGCACACCTGAGCCTGATTGGGATTATCAGTACAGCAGATTATTGATCATCTGAGACCTGATATGACATTAGAAGAGAAGTAAAAAGTCACGAACATGAAAGCAGCTTGATTGATCCGGTTAAAGAGCTTCTGGATGTTTCAGAGGAGACAAATCCTTTCATAACACCATCAGTTTGGGTTTTGGTTGCTTCCTGAATTTAAATGTATGAAAACAGATACCCTGCACAAAACATGTCTTTATTGCTGACTCGTACTTTGCAGCAAGAACATCATTACCCTTAGCTAAGAAAAGCAAAACCCTGCATTCACGCTTCCCAACACTCATTTAGCTGGTAAAAGAATTAATCTTATGCAGCAACACAGACAGAATTTAAAGCAAAGCACAGCCACTGTGTTGCATGCTGAACCAGATGCTTAATAGTGTGAACGCAGCTACGGATTATATGCCTCGAGCAGCCGTCTCAAATCCCACTGAGTCAGCATTTAAAGCGAAACGAGGTCCGACTGGCTGCATGGATCCTTCAATTATGTCAACGCAGCCCTGCATATCTTAATGTGATGCCGCAAGCTGTAATTTATTCTTTCCTTCTGATAATTGTTAAATTTGGATTCTGCCAGAACAGGTTTTTATAACCATCCAATTGCATCATTCAGTAAAACTGGTTTTCCCACAAATATCAACAGATCTCTGAGAACATACTTTGAAGGGTCAAAGAAGTTCAGTTCCCTCTGACTGAGCATGCACTGGCTTCAATGGGTCTTCAGCTGAAATGTATCTGATGTTTACTTTGCAGAATTGTGCTGAAGCTCTGCTCTGAAATAAAAAAATTATGCCTTTAATTGTAAAACGTACGTTAAAAACAAAAGACTAGCAAACAAGTAGTCAGTACCGGCACTCTTGTGTGAAGAAATCCATGCGCTTGTATTAAAGGGGTAACTATGTAACTAGTGACATATTAGAACAGCATTAGAAAGTAATTATTACCCTGGCTTTCTGCCTGAGGGAGGGAGTCAAAGCGTTTTAAGGAAGCACAGGAACTCAAATAAAGATTAACCAACTGCTGAGTTCACAAAGTGGTTAAATTTACCTCAAAAGTTAGGAAATGTATTGTGAGGAAGGAGTAAAAACCAAGTCAAACAGTTCCACACACAGACGGACCACGTTTTAAATGTGAGAAATAACCTGAGCATTTTAGGATCAAAAAGGACCAACTCACCTTGAATGCATGCAGAAAGTCCATCAACTCAAACGTACAAGTTTATTAAAGCAAGACAGTTCGATTTGTTCTTCTACTGTTGGATGTGAAAAGCTAGTCTTTTCTGGAGGTCGAACGGTTTCCTAGTTCAGTCAGCCTCGGTCACGTGGCCTGGCTAGATCCTCAGAACAGGAAGATGGTGTTTTCCTCAGAGGTTAAATATGTCTTCAGATTTAAGCAGGGTTGTAAAATGCCCCTTGAGCAAACATTTACAGAAACACACACACTATTAAAAGAGGATAATGATTAACTTGGTGGAGATGAAGCCAAGAGAGCATCCAATAACTGCTAAAACACCATCAGAGCATAAACATCTTTATCTTTAGAGCTTCTTGGTCAGTAGCTATCGCATCTCAAACTATCACCCATATAACTACTGCAAGTCCAAAAACCAGAGATTGACTGCAGGTGATGAAGATCACAATAAAATCAGTTTTAGATGGAAACAGTGTTATAGATAAATAAAAAACTTAATTGCTGATGACGTTTTAAACATTGTCATTTTCACCTACATAAAGGAAAACCAAACTATCAGAAAAGTGACCTGCCTTTCTGGGAAATCCTAACTTAATTAAAAGAACATAACAGCTGTTGTGAAATGCAGGTAAATCAATAAATATTTTTAAAAAATTCCTGGAATGATTCAGAACACAATATGTCCTGAGATTCTCCACAAGCTGGAAAACGCTACCAATATGAGAGTATTACAGGTGGATTTTTATTTTAGCTAAGAGATTTTTGCCACTGCACAATCTTAATCATGTAACGGGATTACTGAGATGAGCTTTTAGGGAAAATAAAGTTCAGGAATGCTGCTTTCTTTGGCTGCTGATCAGCTTCTCTTGGGGGTTTTGCAACCCACATTTATCACACTAAACCCTTCAGCAACCTTGAAATTATTGATGCCAATTTTATTTCACTGTTTCTATAAACCAGAAACAAAGATTTTCCTGTAGTATTTTTAAACAGAGAGTTTTCAGCAGCAGCTCTCCAGGCACATACCCAGATACGAACATTTCATTTTTGCAGTTAAAATCTTTGCGTTTAGATTTGTACACATAAAACAGTTGAGGGAACAGCGCTGTCAAAAATACCAACTCAAGAGCCAAAAAACACAGAAATAGCTGATGCAGCATAAATCCTGCACATGGAGGAAAGGGAACTGAAACAAAAGAAATATTTAGAGCTATATTCTTTCCACAAGCCGCTAAGGAAAGCAGCTTTTCTTCTCCTTCAATATCACCCACCACTAAAAGGAGAGATACAATGTTTTTGCCTGTGTCTGCTAATCAAACTTAGAAATCACAAAAACTAGTATAACTCAGTCCATTTTATGAATATTGAGCTAAAATCAGGTATGGTAGTAGCTGAGAGTCATCCCTGATACAAGCTGTGAGAATAGGTGAAAATCCCAGGGGTGTCAGGACAACCCTTCCATTGTGGCATTACCACTCTGTCCTTCACAACACACTTAATTGTTCTGATTTTGTCTCATGGTTGATGCTGCCTGGACCCGACTTTGACCTACCTGAGGCCTCTCTGTGTGTGTTCGTATAAACTTACACTGTGACCAACTGGTGCAACAGGATTTGTACTCTTGCTGGGCGTGCCGGGGTTGCTCATAGCTCTGCAGTGATTCGATGCTGGTCAGGCCCTGGGAAGCTGGTTTGGACTGGTGCGGCTTTTTTAGCCCTTCTCTTTCTCACTGGGACTCAGACAGCTTTTGGGCAGCATAACCTGGAAACAGACACAAACCAATGACTTGATTTGCACAAGAACACACAGATTCAAAACCTAAAGCACACCAGTGTGAGGAGGATGATAACATGACCCAACCTGATCCAAAATGTCTACATTTTAAAGGTTAATTTTTTACCTCATGAAGAGTTTGACACTTGGTTAACATAAACTTTCTAATTGAGTTTGTATTGGAAGGAACTTTTGAGAGAGCTTATTTATGACATTAGCCATCACAACAAGTAATTATAATAAACTCAATAACAATAATGGCAGAAATGCATACAAATAACCTGTGTTTAATAAAGTTCATGAAATGATGTGATTCCTAATTGTGAGCCTTGCAGTACCTCATAAATACTTTGCCATACTTTGTAAGGTCATTACCCATTTCTCCTGATAAAAGCAAGAGAAAGCAGCACTTCTGTGCATATCTGTTGATACGATCAACTCAGCCAACCTCCACCCCCATTACTTCAGAGACTCTGTGAAAGTCTACTGGCAACATTAAACAATTGGATTCTTTCATACAAAAAGCAAAGCAATGGAGTCTTTTGTGTTTTCAGTCCTTCAATTTGTAAATCATGCACTGCCAAAGCCAGTCCGGCCTACTGACGGCAGCTATCAAAGATGCGATAAACCTTCTTGATGTCTGAAAACAATCGTATCAATGACCTTGTTGAAAGCGAGGGACTTAATGAAGCACAGTGACAAGAGATTAAACTCAAAAACGAGCAGAACTGGCCGACGACCTGACCTGAAACTAAAAAAAATCTGCAAACTTTTAATCAACGCACCAAATTTTAACTCCAGAAGTAATGAGACTCTCTGGTTTAACAAACGGTCCCATAATTTGGAAAGGGGAAAAAAGTGTGAGAGCTTGGAACGACTTTCTCAGTAAACCTAGAACCTAAAACCGTGGAAGAGGCAGGGCTGGCTACACAGGGATAATGTTACAAAGCCCTGGGATCCCGGGTATYAACCATGGGAACCAGATTATCTACCTCAGAGCACGTCTGTAATAATACCGTTAGGATAACAACAATCAGAAAGTGATAACAATATTACCACCTGCAATTGTCTTTCCAAGTCAGTTAATGAAAAAGGAAAGAAAAAAGATGATGTGAGTGTTTTCTGCCTTCACTCAGGTGCATTTACTCTGAGGGATAAAGGAACTAGCTGTCCATGGAACAACTGGCAGTCCAAAATAAAGTGAGGATAAGTTTATTACATCTTCATAGAGTATTGCAAAAAATGTTTTTCCTCTAATGGACATTTATTTCTTCCACATTAAAACTTCCAAACTTTTCCATGCTAGAGTCAGTCAGTGCTTTAAATATGTTACACGAGACTTTGGGGAAAATCTTCCCTCTGGGAGGAAGTAAGACTCAAAACAGGAAAAAGTTGACTCCAACAGACGGTTGCATTTTCAGGAAAGTTTTAAACGTATGGTGAAAAAAAAAACCCTTGAAATTAGTTCCAGTCACTTTAGAGTGTTGGACATCGACATAAGTATGAGAGAAGCCAGATGAAAAATTAAATGCATGGTTTAGACCTTTAGTTAAAAACCAAATTATCTTAATATATAGACAGGGTAAGTTCCAACATTATTTTTCAGGTTTGACTAAAATCATCCTAAAGCATCTCTCAACATAAGATGATCTTTGTCTAACATCCTGGTATGAATCGCTGCAGATGAAATGAAAACATGCCTCAGAAGTGTTTTATTGCAGCATGTTCGTGATTAAGATGACAATACAGCTTGTGGAAASGTTTCCAAGATGATGGAACAACCTGTTTAATACCTAAACATGTATTGAGAGTACCTGTCAGAAGTGATGGTATTTCAAAGCCAAAGAGTAGTCCTACATATTTTACATTTTACGTATAATGCAGAAAGTATAAAATTGACTGAATGGTCATATTTTTCTCCACCTATACAAATTAAGACAAAAAAGGGCTGAGTTTTTTTTAAATCTCCYGTTCTTACCTTTAGCTTGGTACCCTTACGAAAAATWAAAAATGTCAAAAGGTTTTTAAGGAATTTCAAGGGCGACTGTTAACTTAAAATCCTAACAGCAGAACCGTATCAGCCCTTTACAGGAAGTAGGTCAAGATCCTGTGTGAAGCACAATAATCAGCACATAAAAGTCAGTTACAATCTTTAAAAAAGTATGATAATTAAAAAAGGTTATAAACTACTCACTATATATTTAGCAAAAAGGATAAGGAGTTATGCAGTCAGATGGCAGGACAGAGATCACGAGTCAAACTAGAACTCAGGACTCGAGTTCTCGCACTTGTCTTAAACCAGCATTGTGTCGAGACGTTCTAACCAGGCTCAGCTCGCCAYTGCTGACAACAGACTGTACGCCTACATTCAAATTCTATTCAAAAAAGGCACAATTAAAGTACAGCTCATCAAGTCCCAATAAAATGCTTGTGTTCAGAATTAAAAGCTTCAATTCTTGACCAGTATACAGGTCTGAGCTTTTGAAAGATGAGACAATGAGAGAAAATACAAAGAACATCAAAACTTCATTCAAGCACAGAGTTTTTAAAAAGATAAAGCAATTGATTCACATCAGTCTAGCAGATAAAGTATGCTCGTTAAAACAACTTTAAAAAATAACGTATTTCTATTGCCGTATCAGTCCAAACCATCTCAGATAATGTGTCCTTAATGCGTCATCTGTCAAGATAAAGTCCTTCTTTGTTCTGGGTTCTGACATCAATTTACAGAGCTAATTATCACTTTTTTAAGACAACACAAAAAGCTTTGTGAGCAATTAGCAGAAGCCGAGAAATGATTCTGAACAAACTGGGTCACAGTTAAGAAAAGAAAGCTCAAAACATAACTAGTTTTCCACTAAAGCCACAAATGACCAATTTTAGAGACCCGTAACTGTGTTACAGTTTTCAGATGACTCATATTTAGGATTTATTTTGCAGTAAGCATGTTTCTGCTACTAAAATGAGCAGCAGCAGTTATTTTTCTTAACCCATGGAGCGTATCAGTTTTTGTTTACACTTGGTCAGATATCGTGGTCTGAGCCTGACTCAGCTCTTGCCTCAGTGGGATATTGGGAAATTTGCGACATTAACAAGAAAAATAAAGTTACGCTTCATTAATCTGGACCTAAAATACCACCCAGTTATCCATCCAGTTAAAATCTAGACTATTTTGAGCATGAATTAAATTAAAAATATAGCCACAGTCAGTAATAATTCAAGACTTATGAGAAGAAGCAAGGATTACACCTGGCTACAGAACACAGAAACATAGGTTCACGACTGTACGATACCTTCATGTGCTTACTGCAAAGAAGCTGCTGCAGACATTCTAGTGCAACGCTGAACTCTGCAGTGAAGGGGCTGGTCAGAGTGCAGGGTGAAAACAAACAGAGGACGAAAACAGAGATTGTACCAAAAAAATAAAAAAATAAATAAAAAGGTAACACGTTAGCAGCGCAGAGCTTCTTGGCGGCTTGTCCTGCCTCTCGTCAAACAGACTGCCCTCTCGTATGCACTGATAACAGCAGCCTTCCTCTTCAGGATTATGTTTCCTCCTGTAGCCTGCTGACAAGTCGCCATGTGACCGCCAGACCCATTCAACACTGAGTCAGAGGCATTTTCTCAGACTGTGTGTCTGACACACATACACACATATTTGTGTTGGTAGCAAAAAGTCATCAATACTTCTCTTTTCGTAAGCATTGAATTTTGGAGATTTGTGTGTTTAGCTGTTTTTGTTTGGTTTAATTTAGGATATCCTCTTCCTCTTCCTTCTTGCCTTTTCCAATCAAATATCTTTAAAACAACAACAACGTGGTAAATGACATGAAAGTTATTGTTTTCTTGTTTGTACTCTTATAAAAAGGTATTTTAGATTACGTGCAAGCTGTTCTGCACTCATGGCAAAGATTTACAATGTTTCCAATGAAACCTGGTCTTTAAAGTCAGATCTGAATAGGAGCTGATGAGGAATTATGGMTAAAGCCTGCTGTGGTCAGTGGAGCTCACAAGTTAAAGCAGCCTTGACTTTTAGGGAGAGCAGCGTGAAACCAAGCTTTTGACTTTACAGGGAATGCATAAAAACGTGTAAACAAACAGCAACGTTAATGTGAAAAACCACTGAGCTTCATGAGGTTTGTAAGACCTCATGTTGTAATAACAACACATTATGTAGTAATGTAATAAAATCAGGCTTCAAAATGTAATAAACTCACGCCAAAACTGCATTATGTAAAAACTGATACAAAATGTAATAAAAGTCTTCAATGCATTTTGTGATACTCTCAGCCGCAATATGTTATAACGTTATTACATTTTGCGGCAATTGTTACCAAATGTAATAATCTGGTGCATTATGCAATAAACAATCAAAAACCAGTATTTCTGTTCATCCTAATCAATATACTRGTAATAACTGTCATGTTGCAAATACTACATTTTGTAATCTTTATAATTTTGGTCAAACACAGAACTTCTCATTTTTTATTTGCATTTTCAGATTTACTGTCCTGATCCCTGTTACAGAAATTATTCCACTTTGTAGAAAACTCCCAAAATATATCTAAAAGTTAGTTGTACATAAATGTCAACCCCTTTAGATGTTTACCTGTATAATGAGCCTTAAAAATACGTAATTTTTGTTAAAATAATCTGTATTAATCACAGGCAGGGGGCGTTGGGGGGTGCAGGTGGACCATCAGGGGAGGGGGTGGGGTGCAGGCGGACTGTCAGCTTCTGTATCAGAAGGAAATGAGGGCAGAAGAACTTGTTTCTAGCAATAGAGTGGGTTGGAAGTGGATATTTGATGTTAATAATTGTTTTTAATTTCCTACAGGCTCTGACATGTTGAATAAATTAGAAACTAAGTTTTTGAAAGATTCCATAAAACATGAAAACAATCAGTGAGATTGCTCTATACGTCCCTGTACCTGCAAAATGACATAAAATCTGTGTAAATTACGGACAATCCTTACATTTGACATGGT